GCCTCTAATTGCTCAGGATTTGGGAGGAGAGTGAGTTCAGGGTGGACTGAGGTTGTCTGAAAGGTACCATGAGAGCCCTGGGCCTTAGCTGACCCTTAAAAATGAATTTTGAGTTAAACAGGAAGTCAAACACTGCCAGTTACTGACCTGCTAGAGCAAAGACTCAGATGTATTCAGAGGATGGTGAGCTTAGCCGTGGCCATTGGAAGTTAGGTTAGATACACACAGAACAGGTCAAACTGTGTCCACCTCTGAGAGCCAAGTCGGGGCGCTGACCCGCTAGAGTGAAGTATGATCTGAAAAAGGAACATGAGAGAAGCAGCACTGGAGAAAGATTTTTTATGAAGAACACCTTGCGCGTGTACATTAACTTTATCATCACACATGTGCACGGAAGTTTGCATACAGCTTCAAGGAGCAAGCTTCCTGCAGCCCATCATTGTAAGGCCTGCTGGAAGACCCTGCAACCAGAGACCAGGAACCCAAACAGCAGGTTATGGAAAGACCTCGTCAGATGGACGCGAAAGCTTAATGTAGGATGGTGGCAGTGAAAATGGACAGAGGCCTTTTTGAAGAAAAATTGACAAGATCTGGTAACTAATTGGATAGGGAGTTGAAAGAGGGAGCGGGGAATAGTCAAAGATGATGACTTGAGAGACTACAGAAAAGATAGTGCCCATGAAAAAAATTAACCTTGGTCCATGAGGACTAGTTTCTGTTTTGTTCTTATTAGTTTTATATGCTTATACTTACAATATAAAGTCTAGGAGGAAAAAAATGAAGTGAAAAGACTCACGATGTCTAAATATCCAAATAGGAGAAAGTTTCAGAACTTCGGGCTCAAAGAGAGTTCCACATTCAGTTGAGCTCTGTGAAACAAGGCAAAGTGTCCTCCTCACAACATCATAAGCCAGAAATATGTTCTTTGAATTTACAACTTCTTAAAATAGGAGTCAATTAAAAAAAAAAAAAGTACAGCAAGTGTTTTCAAGTTAACTGGAGAGAAAAAAAATTTTTTTTCTGCTAACACCACATTTGAAGTTCTGTATATTTACACTAGTTTTAATATGAGTGTTTAGAAATTTGTAACCCAGCGAGGTGCATTCTATTTTCTTTGATACAGATTATATTGTGAATGCTCAAATTGTTTTATGTGAAACAGTATTTTTCATCAAATGAAACTATAAAACAGGCGAACTCCAAAGTTGGTCTGCTCTTCATTTTCTTATAATCTGTAATCAGGAAATCCATTCACTCGTGCTTTATAATTTTTGTGCTTTTAAGTGGTCAGGGGAATGTGACATCTGCATGCAGCCCCATCCAAATTGATCATCGTCCCAGGCAGAGAGAGGGTAATTTTAAAACGTAGCATGAAGAGAGGTGGAATCTCTATCTCAGAAGTTTATTGAAGGGTAGCGTTTCCCACCTCCCGACCCTGACTTTGAAAGAGACCGTTCTGTTGGGTGAATTTATCTTAAGGTACGACAGCAGCCTCAACAGAAGGCCACAGCGCCCGGAGTGAGGAGGAGGCCACAGTTTCCGAGCCCGTTTAAATGCAGGCTCTTCTTAGCAGTAAACCACACGAATGTATTCATCATTGATTTTCAAATGATAGGTTTCTATATCACTGGTTTAGGATCCACAGCCTCGCATTCCTGAATCTATATTATGCCAAAAGAATAACAACTTGGTGGCTGGAAACAGAAATGGTTATTATATGGCTCCAAAATGCTAGCTGGCACAATATGCTAAAAACAGCAGAAATTCACCGGTAAAAGGCAGAATTTATTTGTTCTCAAAAATAACTTTTATGCTCTAAAAATATGAATTTAAGAAGTGTCATCGTGGTTCAAAATATTTTACCTTCACTATGTAAACACCTTAAAATATGTGACTAATCTTCTAAAATGGCATAATTTCCGAACAAGAGGAAATATTCCAAGAGGAAAAATAGAATGCTTTTCAAATCTTTTTTTTTTTAAGTTTTAAGGCATTTATTAGGTGAAAACCTAAAATATATGTTTGCTTTTTATCTCCCCCCTGCTCCCCGCCTATTGCTGCCCCAAATCATTGTTTAAAATATAGGCAAAAAGCTTTGTTGGAATTTCTCAGAATTCACACTAGAAAAAAAATTTTTTTCTTAATAAAAAAAAGCTTTTCTCAGAGCCTTCGTGCAGCATTTCCATTTTCGCACACTGGCCCAGTGCTCGTCATATCACAGGACAACACATTTCATAAAGCGGTTTTACTTCCTTTTAGCAAAATAACTCCTCCATGCAAACCAGTATCGGCATCTACCAAGCCCGGGTTTTAGTTTCTTCTGATCTGTTCAAGCTTCATTGCACTGCTTAACTGACTTTTTTTTCCCCCTTTCTTTTGAAATTACCCAGCTAATTTTCCATTTGATTGTTTATTTAAACCAGATCTCACACAGGCTTAATAGATAAGTGACATAGGCATTCAGCGTATCTGTCAGCCTGAGCTTCGGCTGACAGGAAAGGAGAGTGCAAACTTTGTCTCGGTTTTCTCACTCCGTTTTTATCCCATGGAATCTATTAATTAAAACGAAAGCCCTAGCATAGTCACAATAATGATTCAGCAAGACACATTAAATATAAAAGTCCTCTGAGCATTCTATTTTATCAAGTGTCTTTCTACGTGAACATACCCTTTGTATTTCCCCTAGCCAAAAAAGGTAAATGTATTTGTTTTTTGTAATCACTTTTGCCACAGAAAACTGTCCAAATTAACTGTGCACATATCTTCTTGGCTTTTGACATCTTTAGTTGGCTTTAGAGAATATAGCTAATTTTCTTGAAGTTTTATTACAGAAGAGCATCTTATATACAAACTCAACCAACATTTCTTAAGCAGCTACTTGGTACTTGATACATTTTTCCAGGAGGGGTTGTTTGTTTTATTTTGTGGGTTTTTTTCCTCCAGTAAGGTGGAGAATGTTATGCATAACCCAATTGACAGATTTAATCTTGTAGTTATTTGTTATACATTCAGCCTGTTTATTCATGCATAAAATAAGACAAGCAAAATGAAAGGGATATGAAGAACCAGTATGCTGTAAACATTAGTAAATTTGTGTGTGTGCATGGTCAGTCATGTCCGACTCTTTGCAACCCCATGGACTGTAGCCTGCCAGGCTCCTCTGTCCGTGGGATTTCCCAAGCAAGAATACTGGAGTGGGGTGCCATGCCCTCCTCCAGGGGATCTTCCTGACCCAGGGGTCGAAACCACCTCTCCTGCATCTCCTGCATTGGCGGGCAGATTCTTTACCACTGCACTACTTGGGAAGCCAAAACAGTGTACCTCAAATAGATTTTAATTCAAAAGATGTACCCCAATATATCTCCTGAAATATACCGGGGCTTTGCCTTCCTAATTCCTCACTATTGCTCTGGTCATCATAGAAATTTCCAGACTGGATCACACTGTCAGGCCTTCCTAAAATATCCCAATGCCAGTAAACCTCTCTGTCCCCTTAAAGGCCTACATTCCCTCTGCAGCCTTCAGGGCTCTGCATTTCCACCATTTAAAACCAAGACACGTTAGCCTGGAATTCACAGGCTGACCTCCAGTGGGCGCCACAGCCCAGCCCTCCATGTTCCTTCAGAATCTTTGCCTCTTCTCTCGTGGGTTCCTTTCTCACCAGAATCCTCACAGAGTCTCTGGCCGTCCTCTGTAAATCGCCACCGTGGCCCTTTCCTAGTGCCCAGTCACAAGACCAGAGATCTTTTTGTCTCCTCTGTTTTTTCAGGACCCACATCAGTTCTTGCCTCTTCCATGAATCTCGTTCAGATAATCTCTTCCTTGCTGGGAACCCAGTAGCCCTTAATCTGGATTCCTCTGTGGCACCTCACCCCAGGCTGCCGGGTCTCACACACGGCCATATCGGATTGCCACAAAGGACTGCTCGGGCCTTGGAGGACCGGGGCCTTGTCTCTGCCGCCCCACCGAATAGCACACAGCTATCATTCGTCCTGGAGTCACAGATGTCTCCTTTAGAGAGCTCCAGAAAACAGCCGTCTGGGTTTCCAGTAAGGGTTGTTGAATTGGCCTAGGTGGTTTCGCCGAGTCTCCAGTCAGAGACGCTGGAGGAAACCAGCAGGGACTTCCGCTTCAGCTCAGGTTGCGTCTCTGCACCTCTGCCGGCCACGGGCCGGTGTGTTTTGAGTTCTGAGAAAGGGACACCTTCAGAGAGCCGTTTGCCTGCTAATGGGAGGGGGAAGACTAAACATCAGAGACCCAAGAGAAACCTTTCAGGACGGTTCCCACTCGGCTACTCCTGGGCCCTGGGCATCAGCCCTTTAGCGGAGGCCTCACCCCCTCCTTTCAGCTCCTGAGGGGGAGTCCTGCTTTCTGAAGTTCTCCGTGAGCAACAGAACAGGGCTTCAGATGCGTCCACTGAGCCTCGTGAGGGAAGCAGACCAGAGAGAAAAAAGCCATAGGGAGAAATCGCTCAGAGAAAAGGGGAACTGAAGAGCAAAGCGTGTGAGAGGCTGCTTTGCCTCCCGCATGTCCTAGAAATTATAGCCTCGCTGGCGTGTCCTTTCTTCACTTAAGGACACACAGACACAAAATAAAACCCAAATCGTTGAACCGAAAGAGTGAGTCATGCCAGCCAGGCCTCCGCTGAGCTAGTCAATTAAAGTTCAAGACCAATTCAGTGCTTTTCTTAGGCCCTGAAAGACTGACTTTCATCCCAACTTTTTTCTAATAGAAAAAAATAAAAGTATATGCTGACTTCCGGACAAGTTGATATCTCTTAGGTTTCTTCTCATTAGTTTTTAATCTTCCTTCAGCGGCATATTAAAGAACTGATTGGGTTACTCCTGAGGAGGTTGTCAGTCATCCTGTGACTTGCCATGTACATTATTGTCTCACCCTGTTAATCCTTTCTTCATCATCTCATGTAGTGTATGCTCTAGAAGCATTTTTTGAGTCCAGATTTTTTTTTCCTGAGTGCTCTCACTGTTTTCTGTTAACAGGGAATGGGTATGGCAATCCCCGAAACTCACCAGGTCTGCTGGTCTCACCTGGTAACTTGAACAAGAATATGCAAGCAAAATCTCCTCCCCCCATGAATTTAGGGATGAATAACCGTAAACCAGACCTCCGAGTTCTTATTCCACCAGGCAGCAAGAATACGATGCCATCAGTGGTAATGTGAAATTCCATTTTAAATAAATGTTGATAATGTTTTGTATATGTTTTGCTGTTTTTGTATTTGTCTGACTTTATGAGTTACTTGCATGTTCCCAGAAAATCAACATGTCAGTGCTGTTGCTGCAGCCCTGTTTGGATTTAGCTATTATTTCTGGTAACTGGTTTGCGTTTCCCTTTTCCATGGGAAAAAAAAAGAAAAAAAGAACCAACATCTAATAAACTCCATTATAGGGCTGGTAGAACTGGAGCAAAAAAAAAACATTTCCTTTTAAGGCCCCCAATTTATAATTAGAAAAAAATCATTACCTAGTATTCTGCTTATGGGATGTATGATTTGACCAATGGTAGAACCAAACTCACGGAGTGAGGTATTTCATAAGATTTTTACAGGATTGAACTAAATAAGTATGCTCTTAAGGTGCTGACAGTGAAAAATCTTTTTCATAATTTCTAAATGAGCTCTCTCCCGTTAATTGGCATTTCTTCTCTTAGGTATATTGCAGTGATAATGTTTAACACATCACATGCCTGTGCACCGCCTCAGTTCTCCTTTCCAAATATGTGTTTAATGCCAGTAATTACCTATCAAAAACAAATTGTCTAAAATTCTAGGCAATTGAGAACAAAGGTTATATTTTCCATAAAAAAAAAAGTTGTGGCACTTATAAGAATAAATACAAAATATAAATAATATCCCTGGAAGCTATCATTTTTCCTTCTCCTGGGTCTGAATGACTAAGGTGAAGATAATCCTGTGGGCCCAAATTGAACAACAAAGAGACTTACATCCATGTTCTCCAAATTAGCTTTGCTTAAGAGTGAGAGAACATTTAAAACCAGGATTCAGTAGACAAATTTAGATCATTCTGCAAACACATTTTTTTTCTTTCTCTGCTCTGTGGCAAGCTTCAGGGTAAAATGGTCCTGCAAGCTGATTAGTTTATTATGGCACAGTGCAGATTAATTTTGAATATCAACCCCCCCCAAAATTAACATAATATGCAACATTCCCTTTGGAAAAGGCTGGGTCTAATAAATAAAACCTCCCACAGGGCTATCACCAAGCAGTGTGGGCCACGCATGGCAAGCTGTCTCTATCAGCAGATTGATTTCGAGTCCCTTTCCCAGGGATTCCGTGAGCTGTTGGCCAGGTCTGTCGGTGTTAGCCAGGTGCAGTTTCCCGCTTCCTCCAGCAAGTGCACTTTCAAAGTACCATCTTCTTTTTTCTCAAAATGTGGTGGTGAAATAATGAAGGTTGAAACCCTGACCTGTGCTGAAAACTGGATAGATTGTCTTCACGTTGGAGACAAACCGCTCATTAAAGGAAACAAAGAATATCTTTGTCAGGAGTTGTCTTTAGAGTCTGAGTTTTAAAGCTGTTAAACTGTCGTGCCTGTCAGAGGATGCTTTTCCTTTTGTTGAAAAGATTTTGCCCAAGTATAAATATTTACAGACACTAATTAATAAAACTCCTTCCCCATGCTCTCAGTCTGAGGATGTCGACCTGCTCTTGGTAAGTGGTGAGGGCACGTCCCTTCAGTGCCACGTGCAAGGAAAAACCCAAAGCCGCCGTTAGGTGGAGAGGTGGCAGCAGTAACATGGAGAGATTTGGGGAGTTAGTGTGTGTCAACATTGATTATTTAGAAATAATTTCAAGTAGCACTTACAGGTGAAATACCAGGTTATCTGTTTTTCTGTTTGACCCTCTGTAAGTGAAGGCCCATGTGTTCCATGTATTTTTGGACTTAATTTATAGTACAGTTGTAACAAACAAATGTCCTCAGTTATTTAAAGCCACAAAGATAACTTATTTTTCTAAGAATTAAATTCTCACGATATTTAAGTGTATATGAATTTTTAACCTCCTTGCTCTAAGGAATTAAATATACACGTTAGCTGTTTTGCCATCTAGTTTGAGGGAAGTTTTAGAACCTGAAAAAAAAGTGGTCAGAGCACCACCTGCTGGTGAAAACATAGCATGAGCCCTCTACCCATCTGCTCTGCTATATATACAACTGAGCACAAAAACCACCATGGTTGATTTTAATTTTTTTTTCAATTTGCATTTGAATAAAAACTGAAACAATGGAAGTACAGTATACATATTTCATCAGTTTTCAACATAGTCTGTTTTTACCCATAATAAAGCTATGGTACTTGTTACTAGTTCAGTTGCCTAGGAGATACTGATGTAATGGGTTACTATGGCAACAGCTGGTCTCTTGAAGGATTGAAAATGATAGGGTTGGCAGAGTTCATAGAGACACATGTTAAATGATTAATTTCATGAGATTTGTACCAAGTTATCTCTTTATATGCAAAACTAATACTGAAATCTAGTGTTTTTAAGTTTAAAAAAAATCTATTCCCTAATATCTTTTTATTTACTTTAAAAGAATCAAAGGATAAATAACTCCCAGTCTGCTCAGTCACTGGCTACCCCAGTGGTTTCCGTAGCAACTCCTACTTTACCAGGACAAGGGATGGGAGGATATCCATCAGCCATTTCAACAACATATGGTACTGGTGAGTAGTTTTGCCATGTTCAAATAATACATTAAATACTTTCCATTAAAAAGCAAAATTAAAATGATATTACCTATTAGTCTGTTAGGAAGCTTTATTTAATACCTGTGGTGTTCAGATCATTATACCATTACCTATTCATTACTAAGACAAAGTAAATATCCACATGATTCTTTCTTAGTGACCAAAAGTTTTGTTAACCCAACCTGAATTCAGTATAGAAGAAAAATTTCAAGGAAAATGAGCTGTTATTTCTTTGATGTAATACTGAATCTGAAGCTCCAATACTTTGGCCAGAGCTAACTCTTTGGAAAAGACCCTGATGCTGGGAAAGATGGAGAGCTGGAGGAGAAGGCGGGGGACAGACAGTGAGATGATTGGATGGCATCACCAATTCAATGGACATGAGTTTGAGCAAACTCTAGCAGATAGTGAAGGACAGGGAAGCCTGGCATGTTGCAGTCAATGGGGGTCACAGAGTTGGACACAACTTAGTGACTGAACAACAACAGTAGAAAGCTCACTTTCTCAGGATTGTTTAAAAAACATTTCTAGATCATCAAATACTAGGTACCTGCCTGTGATACCAGATCGTAGTTCTAATAAACTGAAATTGCTTGCTGTACTACATTGACGTTTGCATGGAATACTTAATTTTGGTGCATAGTATATATCTCCTTTGAATTAAATTGTCCCTAATGTTTTATTTCCCTCCCTGCCCAAATTTAAAAAAAAAAAAGGATAACAATCATTCAAGAATACTAATAGGATATTTTAAGAATTGAAAATGATTATTCTGTTCTCAATTTTGTGATTTCCAAATTAAACCTTTTGCCTTCCTGTCTTTGCTCCAGAGTACTCTCTGAGTAGTGCAGACCTGTCCTCTCTGTCTGGCTTTAACACCGCCAGCGCTCTTCATCTTGGGTCAGTAACTGGCTGGCAACAACAGCACCTCCACAACATGCCGCCGTCCGCCCTCAGCCAGCTGGGGTAAGCAGTGTTACTTCTTTCATGACACATGTTCATAAATGCGTCTGTAAAATGGCAGATGGCAGCCTCTAAGTTTGGGCCCTAATGTCCCTTTCGAGGATGTGAGATTCTGCTGGATCAAAATCTGAAAGTACTTAGCAAGTTAATATCTTTCACGTGGCTTAAATAGAACTTTCCTCCTCCTTTATGAGGAGGGGGAGCTCTGTGATAATAGGGCGTTTTATTTTCCTGTTGTTTTAGGCTGTATTTGTTTCCACTGCTCTCAGTGATAAAGTTCTCTTCAGTTAAGCTTTCACATAGTTCACGTGGGACAGAAGAAAACATTTACAGTTATTAGTTCTTTGAATTTTTGTGCTATTTGAGAATCTTTTTTGCTTTGCATAAACCACATAGTTCTTAATGTGATTAGCATAGTTAGTTTATTACTCAGAGGGTCAACTATCCCACTGATACACAGACTTCATATATTTATAATATACTCATAATATAGTTGTGTATTTGTAGATATTATATGAATATGCATATATGTATATGTACACACACACTAATTATTTAAATTTGGGTATAAAAATAGTTTTTGTTGTTTTCTGAAGTCAGAAGATGTCTGTTTTCTGCCCCCTTGTGGTACTTTTGAGATATGTCTTTATCATGGAAATAACTCCTGTCATTTATCAATGGAAAGGTTGAAATCTTAAAAAGCCCTAAATTCAAAAATAATACTGCTTGTAAAACCAGGAGTTTTATTTTTAAGTCTAAAACATGAACCAAAGATTTGACTTTCAGTTTAACTAAGAACTCCAAAACTTCAGTTAATCTTCAAAAGAAAATACAAGGAGGATATAAAATATTTAAAGATAACCCATTTTTATATGTTAGAAAAATGCTGTTTGTTTCCCCCACTTTTACCCTTCTGCTGAGCCATTTGGTCAAAATAGTTAGCTAGTTCTATGTTCATATTCTAAGGAGACAATGAGAATAAAATGCTGATTAGAATAAAAATTACTGATTGATACCACAGCTTCTCTTAGCCCTCTCCAGCCCCACTAGCTTTCACATGGAATTGATTTCACATAGATTAGTGCTCTGGTTGTGGCATTTATACCCAGCTACTATTGGCTTATGTGCATTTTCCTCACTAATCACTATTGTTGATACTCTAACCTAAAAATAAATAAATTCTCTTGACACTGTTGCTCTGCTTCCTTGAAAGATTAACTTTGAAGATACATCATATATTGATCAGCAACACAATGTCTCTTTTTAGGATAACATTTAACTTTTCCTAGAAATGTTTAACTATCCAAATAGACAGGTATTGCAATAACTTTTTCAGATAATTACCACTAAGTACATCGTACCAACAGGCATTCTTAAAATCATACACACGGCATTGTACTTCTGTGGTTCAGCAGTGAATCCACTGTTTATTGCTTTTTGTCATAAGTAAAAGTCCCCGTTCTTATTTTTCATAAAATTCATCCATTATAGGACTAGCACTCCTTAGAGATTATCAGTGTCAAAAGTCATATTATTTTCTCTGCTATGGCTTTCTTTTGTTTTCAGTAACAACTGACAATTTGCATTTTTACATAGAAAATACATGTATTTATATATTTTAACCACCCTACAATTTTTTAATTCACTTCTGGGAAGAGAATTTTATTTTTATTCTACATGGGAAGAATCTAATTCTTTGCTGCCCTTAATAGCAGCTTCAGTAAATGAGAAAGAAGGGAGAGCCCAGGACTAGTGAGGAACTGAATTACAACAGTCAAGGATGAAGCATTTTGTTTAGTTCCGGTTGCTTTCAACACCAGTTCTCATGGTGCACGAGTTGACTCTGAATTTAGTCTATGTGTTTTTATTGTACTTAATCACTTCCCTTATCCCTCAAATAGATTACCCCTTCCAGGCCTTCTAATTTTGTCCTGCCTTTCTTCTCTCTTTCCTTCCTTCCTTCCTTCCTTCCTTCCTCAAACCGCGCCCCCCCCCCAACACACACACAGTTTTCAAAAGGAGATTCCTTCAGATGGATTAGCCTACACTCACATGATTAAATCTTAAATTCAAAAAGAAAAAAAAAACCCAAATTATAATATTTATGTAAAATAAATTATATGAGCTACCTTTATTCCTTACAATGTCAGTCACTTTTTTTAAAATTGATATTGTTCCAAGCCAAACTAGTCTCAAATACTTGTGTTGTGGATTCACATTCTTTCCAGTAGATACAGTGTTCATTCAAAGCAGAGTAAAATATCTTTCAGCCCACCAAGGCAGATATTCCCCACAGCCCAAGAGGGTCACAGTTCTTTCTCAGAATTAAACTATGAAAGAGATCTTCATATTTTGCTCATGGAAATACCTTTAAATCCTCAAAACTATATTGTTGGCACTCTGTAGTATCTGATTTTGTCTAAGCAAGTTAGAAAAACAGCATAAACTGACCAGATACAGGGGGTAGAGTGGGCTGGAAGGAACTTGCCATCAAGGGTTAGTGAGAGTCATTCACATGCTAATATTTCAGAAAATGACCCTTGAATGTTTTGGTGTTTTTCTCCTACCACCTAAAAAAAAAGACAACCTAACTTTTAGAACCGTGTCCATCATCATGCTTATTAATGTAGGTATTCAGTACACACTGAGACATGACTTTAAGTAAAGACAGTTTTTAAAAGTTTAGGTTAAATTACAGTTGGATCGTCTAATTTCCCGGCGGGGGCAGTAAGAAATTTGAATAAAGCTCTCCAGTCATGTTTCATTTCTGAACACCATGGGGAAGGTAGGTGTTTTCCCAGCTGGAAGGAAGGCCTCTGCAGTAGCTGGAATCCTCCAGCAGGGCTGGATGTGGGAACTTGGTATCTGGCTTCTGCCTCCCATGCACCTCATCACCCACACGTAGGAAGTATCTCACAGTTAGCTGTGTCTATCAAAACTGCGTTCTCAAGAACAAGTAGACCAACATGCTTGTCTCTGAGTCTAGCGTATGTACAGCGAAGTGATGTTCATTTCAGTTCAGTCACTCAGTCGTGTCCAACTCTCTGTGACCCCATGGACTGCAGCACGCCAGGCTTCCCTGTCTGTCACCATCTCCCGCAGCCTGCCCAAACTCACGTCCATCGAGTCAGTGATGCCATCCAACCATCTCATCCTCTGTCATCTCCTTCTCCTCCCACCTTCGATCTTTCCCAGCATCAGGGTCTTTTCCAATGAGTCAGTCCTTCGCATCAAGTGGCCAAACTATTGGAGTTTCAGCTTCAACGTCAGTCCTTCCAGTGAATATTCAGGACTGATCTCCTTGAGGATGGACTGGTTGGATCTCCTTGCCGTCCAGGGGACTTTCAAGTGTCTTCTCCAACACCACAGTCCAAAGCATCCATTCTTCGGTGCTCAGCTTTCTTTATAGTCCAACTCTCACATCCATACATGATTACTGGAAAAGCCATAGCTTTGACTAGGTAGACTTTTGTTGGCAAAATAATGTCTCTGCTTTTTAATATGCTGTCTAGGTTAGTCATAACTTTTCTTCCAAGGAGCAAGCGTCTTTTAATTTCATGGCTGAAGTCACCATCTGCAGTGATTTGGGAGCCCAGAAACATAGTCTCTCACTGTTTCCACTGTTTCTCCATCTATTTGCCATGAAGTGATGGGACTGGATGCCATGATTTAGTTTTCTGAATGTTGAGCTTTAAGCCAACTTTTTCACTCTCCTCTTTTCACTTTCATTGAGAGGCTCTTTAGTTCTTCTTTACTTTCTGCCATAAGGGTGGTGTCATCTGCATATCTGAGGTTATTGATATTTCTCCCAGCAGTCTTGATTCCAGCTTGTGCTTCATCCAGCCTGGCATTTCGCATGATGTACTCTGCATATAAGTTAAATAAGCAGGGTGAAAATATACAGCCTTGACGTACTCATTAAGTGATGTGAATGTTCCTTTTTCTTTTCAAGAACATACTTCTTTGATAATAGAGACTAGGCTATTAAACGTCATTCTGTTCTGAATCCCATAGCACAGTATAATGAAACTGAATCTAAGATATCACTTACAGTTCATTACTGTGAATTCAGTGTCCCCAGAACTACTCAAAATGCTTCATAAATGCTTTCAGTGTCAAATGAAATACCATCAACTAAGTTTATCTTATCTTGAGGACTAGCCTGTTTGTTTGAAGGAAAGGATAAACAATAAGTATTGTATCTTTTATGAGGAAGAGATACAGCAAAATCTCTACAACCCAGCTGACTTTGGGAGAAGAGTGAATAAGTAGAAAAAGCAGCTTCCAAAAGCTGTATTAGAGAAATATCATTTCAATTATATTATGTTTTGCTCAGTTTATTGAGATTAACTGCTTATACTGGTTCAACTTGCCAAATATTGGTTTCTAACTTTTCATGCCACCCTGCCTGTGAAGACACAATCTAAATGTCAGAGGGCAGACAAAAGTATTTATTGATATGCCACTTTATTTTCAGACACTTAATTGACATTCATCATTAAACAGTTATGTGACTCATAGTAGAAGCATTTAATTAAATTTTAGTGAAATAGTCTTTCTCATCCAGAGCCAGGAAAATTCTTTCTTCCAGAAATCAAAAGATGATTTCCTCTGACATCAAAATGAATCATTAAGTAACTCTGAACCAAGATAAAATAGTCCACCATTATGGATCCTTTTGAAATACAGGCGCTCCCCCCTCATTTCAATATCTTCTTTATTTAAAGATTATTTAAGTAAAACACTTAGAGAATTAGTATACTAACAGACAGTGCAAAATAAAAGCAAGAAATTAATAAAAGTATAAACAGGTGATTGAACATTACACTCCATGTGGTATCTTGATACAAATACTGACTGCTTTGATTCTGTAAGATCATAAAAGCAAAGGAAAGCAAGCCTTATTAAGGAAACAAACAATTCCCCTTTATGTTATTCTTAACATTAGCTCATCTATTAATAAGAGAAGGAAAGTAATTCTTTGCCAGTAGGTGGTGCTTTTGTATAAAACATCACTCAAAGATAAACTCATTTCTAATTTTGTATCTCTTTATATCTTGAACCTGAATTGCATCTCCAAAAAGACCAAGCCCCAAGTTATTCCTCATTTTCCTCTGAAATATATACCCATTTTCTCACTGCTTACAATGACAGTTTTAGTGTTGAATACTATCTGATTCTCCTCATTGGAAAGTAACATAGTCACATACATGCATAGGTGGGTTTGCTCTCCTTTGTTTTAAATAGGTGTGTCTGTGTGGATTATTCTTTACCTTGACTCTCCTCAGAAAAAGAGACTTCTGCTCTCTGTTGACAATATGGGCTACTAACACTGACTCTAGCCACGAATGTCAGTGCAGTTAGAAGATAAGAACAATACAAGCATCTTAAAATTGATGTCAGCAGTGTTACTATGGTTTATACTGATCAAAGTCATTGTGATTGCTAGTCTACACCTAAAGGCTTAATGCTTTTCCCTCCACAACCTCAAGTATCAAATTCTCCCACAAATTTTGGAAGAAAAGGAAGTTATGCTGTACTGAAATTAATGGGGATTAAGGGTTATAAACACAATAAAACCACAGTAAATCCTTCTTTACAACATGTATCAACTAATGACAGTAATAAATTAGAGGAGTGTTCTCCTTAGTATCTTTAGCAGGGAGAGACTAGCAATAGTTTTATTCAGGTAGTCGTGGGAGAAAGTACTTTCATCCCATGTAACTGAGAAAACATGAAGAAAGTCAGATTCTCTTCCCAGTTTTAGTGGGGTAGGAAGTCTGAGTGTTTTTAAGCCAGTACTGAAAATGTCCTTCCCTATTTCTCCCCCTCCCAAGCATTTCATCAGAAATGGTTATGGGTAGCATTTTATGGATTCTATTTATTTGAAATTTAAATTCTCTTCACTTTTTCTGAAGACTAGGCAACTTAATGCGCATATTAAAATGAGGGAAACATTTATATCCCTAGTAAGCAATTTACAGTAATTTTCAAACACAGGCATTAGTAAATTAAAGAAGCCTTAATTCAGAACCTAAACCCTGTATCATTAACTCTTGGATGATATTTTGGAGCTAGTCTGGGGAGAAATTCCAGGGACGTTGAAAACGCTTTTTCCAGCATGTCTTGTTAAAAGCTTCCTGAAGCTGTAACCTGTACATTTAGGGAGACTCGAGGTATCATTCAGAGGCCTGGACCACTTAAACACGGTCATTATTACCGGGCAAATCAACAAAAGCTACCAATCGCTCGAAGAAGGCGATGCCCCCAAGTGCTTTCAAGCACGCTGGCTCTCCTCCCCTGGGCATGCTCTGATGTCGCTGCAAATCTTTAAGCTGATGTTTTATGTAATTGTGAGTTCCTGGGGGCTCCAGGCCTCCTCAATCTGTAACTGGGTTTCCTTTCCTCCTACAGAGCTTGCACTAGCACTCATTTATCTCAGAGTTCAAATCTCTCCCTGCCTTCTACTCAAAGCCTCAACATCAAGTCAGAACCTGTTTCTCCTCCTAGAGACCGTACCACCACCCCTTCGAGATACCCACAACACACGCGCCACGAGGCGGGGAGATCTCCTGTTGACAGTTTGAGCAGCTGTAGCAGTTCCTATGACGGCAGCGACCGAGAGGATCACCGGAACGAATTCCACTCCCCCATTGGACTCACCAGACCTTCGCCGGACGAAAGGGAAAGTCCCTCAGTCAAGCGCATGCGACTCTCTGAAGGATGGGCAACATGATCAGATTATTACTTAATAGTTTTTTTTTTTTTCTTGCAGTGTGTGTGTGTGCTATACCTTAATGGGGAAGGGGGGTCGATATGCATTATATGTGCTGTGTGTGGAAAAAAAAAAAAAAGTCAGGTACTCTGTTTTGTAAAAGTACTTTTAAATTGCCTCAGTGATACAGTATAAAGATAAACAGAAATGCTGAGATAAGCTTAGCACTTGAGTTGTACAACAGAACACTTGTACAAAATAGATTTTAAGGCTAACTTCTTTTCACTGTTGTGCTCCTTTGCAAAATGTATGTTACAATAGATAGTGTCATGTTGCAGGTTCAACGTTATTTACATGTAAATAGACAAAAGGAAACATTTGCCAAAAGCGGCAGATCTTTACTGAAAGAGAGAGCAGCTGTTATGCAACATATAGAAAAGTGTATAGATGTTTTTGGACAGACCCGGCAAAGGGTGGCCACGGTTAAATGTTAGGAACACACCAGGTCACCTAATACCCACCCCGAGAATGCTCACAAACCTGCAGGCACATCCTTGACGTATGGCACTCATGAAAAAAGGATTGATGACCATTAAAAGAGGACCATACCTATTTTTAAAAATTGTGGAGTTTGAGGGCTAACGTATTTAATTAAATAAATAAATAAATCTGGGTCTGCATCTCTTATTAAATAAAAATATAAAAATATGTACATTACATTTTGCTTATTTTCATATAAAAGGTAAGACAGAGTTTGCAAAGCATTTGTGGCTTTTTGTAGTTTACTTAAGCCAAAATGTGTTTTTTTTTCCCCTTGATAGCTTCGCTAATATTTTAAACAGTCCTGTAAAAAAACCAAAAAGGACTTTTTGTATAGAAAGCACTACCCTACCCAAGCCATGAGGAACTCCATGCTTTGCTAACCAAGATAACTGTTTTCTCTTTGTAGAAGTTTTGTTTTTGAAATGTGTATTTCTAATTATATAAAATATTAAGAATCTTTTAAAAAAAATCTGTGAAATTAACATGCTTGTGTATAGCTTTCTAATATATATAATATTATGGTAATAGCAGAAGTTTTGTTATCTTAATAGCGGGAGGGGGGTATATTTGTGCAGTTGCACATTTGAGTAACTATTTTCTTTCTGTTTTCTTTGACTCTGCATACATTTTATAAGTTCAAGGTCAGCTGTCAAAAGGATAACCTGTGGGATTAGAACATATCACATTGCAACACCCTAAATTGTTTTTAATCCATTAGCAATCTATTGAGTCAACTGACTTCCATTGTATATACTAATTAGTTTCTTTCATGCTATTTTTTGTTTTTGTTTTTGCATTTTTATCAAATGCAGGGCCCCTTTCTGATCTCACCATTTCACCAAGCATCTTGGAATTCAGTAAGTGAATAAATACCCTAAACTTGCCCATATCCTAAATTTTCTGGTTGGTTTTCAGCCTAGAATTTGATAATGCTTTTAAGAAATATGCCCAGAATAGAGAGTTGTGTCAGGGCACATGTCCTGCCAATATAGCCCTAGAAACAAGTGATATGGAGTTTGCTCGATGCGTGAGTTATAAATTCCCACAGAAGAAAAATGTGAAAGACTGGGTGCTAGATAAGAAGGAAGCAGGAAAAGGGATAGTTGCTTCGTCATCCGTTTTTAAGTATTTTAACTGACCCTCCACAATCTTGTGAGCAATATAGGACTGTTGAACAATCCCGATGTGTCAGGACCCCCAAATGTCACTTCTGCATAAAGCATGTATGTCATCTATTTTTTCTTCAATAAAGAGATTTAATAGCCATTTCAAGAAATCCCATTAAAGAACCTCTCTATGTCCCTTTTTTTTTTAAGAAATAATGATGACTCTTGTCTAATATTCGTCTATAAGGGATTAATTTTCAGACCCTTTAAAAAGTGAGTGCCATTAAAAAAAAAGTTGATATATATTGTTTAAAAGAGATTTCAGTCTAGGAATGATTTTTCCTTCTCTTGGAATGTGAAGATCTGTCGATTCATCTCCAATTGTACACATTGACATATACAGCAAAGAAGATAAGACAGTAAGATTGACACTGCTATATCAGGTGTAGGACATTTCTTATCCATTTTTTTCTTTTTCTTGCATAGTTGCTAAGTGTTTCTCCTTATAAAAGGCTGCCACTGGGTGGCAAAAGCCAAGAGACCTTACTAATGAGGCTATATTTTTCTTAACTTGATCTGAAATCCACAATTAGACCACAGTGCACCTTTGGTTGTATCCATATAGGATGCTAGCCTGCCTTGTACTAACATTTTTATATACTAAATCAAACAAGAAAAACTCTTATCAACCATTTCATCTGTCCCACTCCTCAAGGTATCCATGAAACACAAAAGAAAAACATTTATGCAGAGGAAAAACAGAAAGTCATCCCGAAAAACACACACATTCACACACAGGGGAAAAAACAGGAAAATCCATTTTCCTCACCATAGACTTGATCCCATTCTTAACAATCCATCCTTACAACTTGATGTGTATAAAATATGCAAACGTCACAAATGTTCTCTTTCATTTCAGAACACTTATCAATAACTTACCACTGGGTGGGAAAGGGTCATTATGTGAAAATATGAAAAAATAGCCATATTAATTTTTTTTACCTGCAATTTGCCTCAGCAACAAAGAAAAAGTGATTTTCTAAATGCTGAAGATAAAGTAAGCTAAAGTACCAGCAGAAGCCTTGGCTATTTATAGCAGGTCTGACAATAGTTTTATAAGAACATGAATAGAACAGAATCACTTGAGAATGGATGCCAGTCATCTCTTGTTCCCACCACTGAATTCATAGAAAGTGGTGGCAAGACAGCAAAGGGATAATCTGAGAATATTTTAAAGATGATTTAATGAGAAGAAGCACAATTTTGATTGTGATGAGTCACTTTCTGTAAACATCGCTGTCTTTGCCCTGATACCTTATCTGTAATTTACCATTTGTTGTATTTGCAAAGCTAGTGTGGTTTTGGGTTTGTATCATGGTGAATCCTTTGTATTCAGTTTAGGGCAGAGCCCTGAGCGAGTATTATTTTACATAACCCATCCTAGAGCAACATTTTAGGCAACATTCTTCATTGCAAGTAAAAGAACCATAAGTGGCATTTTACACAGCTTACAAGTATTGTTATATCTAATCCTATTTTAGAAGATTTTTTGGTAATATTAAGCTTAAATACTGGTAACACTGATGCAGTATCTGCGAGCTGCACAACCTGTATGCATTGATGCATGGAGGGCTGTTCATTTCAACCTTTTTTAAAATTGTGTTTTTTAGTAAAATGGCTTATTTTTTTCCCAGAGGTGGAATTTAGCATTTTGTAATGATGAATATAAAAATACCTGTCATCCTCAGATCGTTTTAAAGTTAACTAAAGTGAAAATTTTTTAAAATTCCAATACACTTTTTAAAAGAATGTCTGCCCTCTCACATGGTTATGTATTTATTTTTCCTACATACCCATCTTTTAATTTAGAGATAGCATTTTTTCACCCCCTTTATCCTTGTGTTTCTTTTTCCAGAGAGTAAATGCTTTGTATTTCCTTCTTTCAAAAAAAAAAAAAAAAGAGGTGGGTTTTTTTTTTTTTAAAAGAAGCAGCCACTTGAACCCTCAATAAAGGCTGTTGCCTAAGCCTGGCATACTTCATCTGTTCCCGTTCATGCCATCTGCTGTGATGTCGTCATTTATATGGCGTTAATTTCCTGCCACTCCAGATCTTTTGAAGATTGATGGAATACTGGTGTCTGTTAGAATGCTTCAGACTACAAGATGTAATTAAAGGCTTTCCTTAATATGTTTTAACCAAAGATGTGGAGCAATCCAGGCCACATATCTTCTACATTAAATTTGTCCATTTTGGTTATTTCCATAATCGAGTATTGCATTTTGCCTTCCCTGTTCATACCTCAAATTGATCCATACCTCAGTTTAATTCAGAGAGGTCAGCTAAGAGACGGATCCCCTTGTGGTTTGAATGCAGAACCAGTGTTCTCTATGAACGAAGCCGCCCTGGGTCACTGTAGGCATAGGACTTGGATTGCTTCAGATGGTTTGCTGTATCATTTTTCTTCTTTTTCTTTTTCTGGGGACTTGTTTCCATTAAATGACAGTGATTAAAATAGCTTGTAAATGAGGGCATACAAGCATTTGCAACAAATACTCAAATAGAGGCTCACAGCGGCATAAGCTGGACTTTGTCGCCACTAGATGACAAGATGTTATAACTAAGTTAAACTACATCTGTGTATCTCAAGGGACTTAATTCAGCTGTCTGTAGTGAATAAAAGTGGGGAATTTTCAAAAGTTTCTCCTGCTGGAAATAAGGTATAATTTGTATTTTGCAGACAATTCAGTAAAGTTACTGGCTTTCTTAGTGATGCAGTGTCTGTGGTGCATTTTTTTTAATGTTTTGCTGTTGAAATGTATTCCACTTTCTCTTGTTTTCTTAAAGCAGCTTTTCCCACAAGCGCAAGTGAGCTTTCTAGTCTTCAACTCAAAATACTCAAAAGCCAGGGTATTTGTGTTTTGTGGGGAGGGAGAGTGTGAATCAGATCTCTGCTCTTGGGGTTATGTAGGTATACAGCCAGTGTGGGAAGTTCGGGGTTCTCATCAAGTGATTCAACTTCATTATCAAATCAGTTCCATGAAGATCTTTGATAAATTATTTCAATACACAGACTTTTCCAAAAGTCATTGTGCAAGGCAACCCCATGTTTAATATTTTTTAAACTAAAAATGTGTAGAAAGCACTTCCAGACTTCTTTTTTTCCATCAGAATAGTGTTTTTAACCAAAAGAGGTTGAAACATAGGCATCTATCTCAATATTTGAGAGAATTAATGGATTCATCTGTTTTTAGAAACCATAAGGTATCTCCATTGGCAAAACTTAATTAAATTAATTTCTATGGGAAATATCCTTAGAAAGATCAACATAGAGATTAATTCAGGAACTGAAAAGGAAGTTGGGGAGGCACTGGCCAGCCAACTTGAGAACTGGACTTTTGCATTAGTAATGATTCTTGCTCTGATGAAAAAAAAAGAATAGCTCTTGCAGAAAGGCTGCACGTGAGTTCAGAATCTCAGTGCTTTTCTCTTTCTTCTCTTTATCCATTGTCAGCAAACATTTATTAAGCAACTATTAATGTGTAATTTGGGGCGTCCCAAGGGGCTCACCTGGGTAAAGAACCTGCTCTTAGTACAGGAGATACAGACCACAGGTTCAATTCTGGAGTTGGGACGATCCGCTGGAGGAGGGCATGGCAACCACTTTGGTGTTCTTGCCCAGAAAATGAAGTGGACAGAAGACTACAGTCCACTGGACTGCATAGAGTCGGGCATAGCTGGGATGACTCAGCACAGCACACATGTAGCTCGTGGTAGATTCCAGGATGAATGAAGATGTAGCTCTTGCTCTTAATAAACTTTAGAACTTAATCGGAGATTAAAAGACTAATAAAAATTAGGAAATGTTTTCAGGGACATTTGCAACGTGCTCAGAGGGAACCACCTTGCCATCTTTGGAGCAGAGCAGAGGCTCCGGGCCTGGGCACTTCATGGTCTGCCCCGCTGAGGAGAGGTGTCTTTGGAGGTGGGTAGGGTGGAGAAAGGCCCAGCTGGAGGAGGACAGGGCGGCTTTGTGGGCCCAAGGCCTCTAGAGTCACACGTGACCCTCCACTTCATTTCAGGTTCTGTTGTTACCATCTTGATAATCTTTCAGTTTTGTAAGTGAGGTCATTTAGGACAATAGAGCATGGGTGTGAGCTGAGGTGGTTCGCAGAAACAAACATGGAATTGTAGTAGCTTGGGAGCACTTTTCCCTTGCTCTTAGATAGGACATTTTCACTTTGCAGTGAGCCCTGTGAATCACAGCTCCAGTCCTGGATGAGAGCGACCAACAAGGAGGAAATAGTAGGGATCACGGCTCAGGGATGGGAAAGCAGGAGAGAACTTTGCAGGAGAGAAGTTAAACAGGCCCACCCTGTTTAAAGTAGAGTTATGTGTAGGTGTTGGAGGAGGTTGTGGAGAGGTCATAACAACTGGTTGACCAGAGAGGTGGACTTGGGCAATCAGAGGCCCCTCACCCCCTCCCCTGTCCTTGGAAGGTACATTCTGCCCACTCTTCCCACAGTGGGGGCCGTTTTCAAGAATCCAGCCTCGAGAGAGCAAGGTGGTGTTGAGATATCTGCATTAACTGAACCCAGTTAAGGCCTCTATCTAACCTTTTAAGGGAATTCCCTGGTGATCTAGTGGTTAGGACTCTGCTCTCGCTGCCGTGATTCCAGAGTCATTTGCCTGGTCAGGGAACTAAGATCACACAAACCACACGGCCAAAAAAAAACCTTTGAAGGTTCTGGTGGGCAGGTGCAGAGCTTCACTTGTATTGCCGCCACCCAAGACAAGCCTCCTATGTAAGTTTCTTCACTTAGTAAACTCGCCACGCGCCTGTCTGGAGTGGTCTGCCTCTTTATTTGCTCTCTCCTTCCCCTCTGTGTACAGAGGCCTGCAGGCTCCAACAAAACTGCAAGAGTTGGTTGGGTGTCCGATTATACAATTGCAATTTTAAGAAATCTGGGATTTTAGAAATGAAAGATTACAAGAGATGGAATTGCTAAAGTACAGCAAATGATCAGGTTTATGGTAGGAGTGATGATGGATAAGGAATTTATAGTTTAATGCTTAAATGCTGAGGATCACAGTAACATTCAAACTGGACACAGGTCACTGCTTTGCCAGGAAGGTAATTAAGTTTCCAGCCTGTGGAGTTTGAGTGATATCCAAGAAGAATATGAGAATTTTGTAGATATAGACTTGATTTCAGTTAATCTGAAGGTAAAGTTTTGGATGCTACTCACAGGGAGACGATGGTGAAGGCCACGCCTTTGAATGAGTGTGTCAAGGGGAAGGGCAAGGGAGAGGGCAGAAGTAGGCTTGGAAGGGAATGTTGCAGAGGAGAGACCTGCAGAGGAGAAGGGACAGGTCAAGAGATGTAGTTAGAAAGAAGGAAAACCCAAGAGTGCTGTCAAGGCAAGGAGAGATATCAAGAAAAAGAAAAAGCAGCGTTCGACAGTGTCCAGTGCTTTCCTGGGGTCCCAGAGGAAGAAAATCAGGGAAGGGTGATATCTGAGAATAGCTCAATAAAGTGGTTTGGGAGAGAGGAGAGATCACAAAAGCTGGTCTAGCAGATGTGAGATTTTTGTTAGCGAGTCCAAGCTTGCTCTTCTCACCACACGACATACCAGTGAATCTGACAGACAAGGGGTTGAGGCAAGGAAGAGGCGTTAATAGGAGAGCTGGCTGACCCAGAAGATGGCAGGCTAGCGCCTTGAAATAACCATCTTCTGGGGGTCTGGATGCCAGGTTCTTTTATAAATCAGAGATGGGGGGAGGTGAGAAAATAAAATAAAAAGGCCTTTAATCTTGCAAGCCTCGGGCAGGGGATATGTTAATTTCTCCCTTCCTGCTATCTACAGGTGGACAGGCTTCTGACAAAGGCGCTTTAGAGGGGCAGGATTCTCCGAGGAAAGCCATCCTGTACAATTATAATAACAAAAGCAACGAAAAGCAAGTCAAAGAAGCACGGAGTCAGAACTGGCTTCTTCTCTGCAACAATTTTTGGCAGCAAGCATAAACTAATCTTCTACGATGTTTGTGGTTAAGAGAGCAGACCTGAAGGGCTAACAGGGTAAGGATCAAGGAAAAGGCCAGGTGGAAATTGTCTGTGTCTGTAGACTGGAGGAGACCTAAGGGAGCAGAATACAAACATGAACCTCCCCAGCCACAGCCTAGAGGATCACGCTTTGTGCCCCAAGGGTCCAATTTGGATGTGGTCGCTTTATTTCAATGACGTTTGGGAGTCTGGATTGAATAGAGTTATTGCATTTGATACACGAAATCGAGCTAAAACAGAACATCTGAGTTTTCACTTTGTGAATTGAGAAAGTCCTTTTTCCATTTTGTTTACATATTTTTATGGCATCTTTCCTACACGTTACCCTTACAGACAGACTCCTAAGGAAGATCCAGGGATGGGAGAGGAAAGTCAAGCTCACTTCCCCACTGTGTCTCCCTTGAATTCCCACTGTGTCTATTTGATAGCTCCATCATCAAAAATAAGGCTATTCTTTTCACCTCTCCTCTTCTAGGTACAGTCTCTTTCCTGGGGGACCTCTGCCTGAGAGTTATGTCATGGTCCGGGTGCAGGTTGGAAAAGAATTTCCAGACATGAGACAGAATGAGAGGGAAGTAAAGTTTATTAGAGTGGGCCAGCTCAAGGGAGAACTGACCTTGAACAGGGGTCCTTAGTCCACTTTTATACCCAGGGTACAAGGAGTGGGATCAGGTCTTGTGGGTCATTTGCTGATTGGATGAGGCATGTATGGATGGGGGAAGGAAGAGTAGGGCAAATACCTTCTCCCTATAGGGTAGGAGGGCAGACAGGTTATACTGTTCCATTAATAGTTACAACATGGGGGAGGGAAGGACCATAACGGTCTGGTTTTTCCATCCCTGCATTCCAAGACCCTCCTTGGTTTTATCTGCTCTTTCATCCTTGGGTCACCACAAGTGATAGGAAAACAAGTAGGAAAATGTTCATATTTTCTGGCCCTAAAGTGGTTTCTGGTTTTAGCAGCAGACTTCCCTGATCCTTAGCTCCGTCACACCCCCAGTCTTGATCGGCTCACACTTGGGGAAGAACCTCAACCCTGAAGCACGCATCTCTAGCAGCCAATGTCTGCTCTAGGCCAAATAGAGATCTTAGTTCCCTTTGAATCTGGTAACTGAACAAAGGTCAGGCTGAAAGCCAGGAACATCCATCCTAAGGAGTCTTGCCCTCACGCACCAATGCAGTTTATTTCCTCTTCTGCGAGGTCAATTCCCTCCCACCCCCTCCCCTCGCCCCGCCAAAGAGAGCATGAGTGCCCGCAGGTTGCAACAGTCAGGCAACCAGAGGAAATAAACTGCACTGCTGCGTGAGGACCAGACTCGTTATGGTGGATGTTGAGTACCTTCTCTGCAATGGACTTGGCTTTCATTTTCTTGTTTTACCTGCTCAGTGACACTGGATGCTGTTTTCCCAGAAGTCGTCTCATCTCCCCAGTTGAGCATCAGACTAGCT